GGGTCAACCGTGGGGCCCCTGGTGCAGGGTTCTCTGGCCCAAGGCTGCAGGGGCCTGCAGGACTCTGTATCCTACCATCGTTGGGGTGTCCCCTGGCCTGGGGCTGTGGCATCTCTGGTTGGAGGGGTGTCGTCTGGCTCCATGCAGACCCTCTGTGCCCTCTGCTCCCCAGCACCATCCTGGTGGAGCCAGGTTGCCAGGCAGAGGTGACCGAGACAGGGGACATCCGCATCTCTGTGGGGGCCGAAGTCCCTGGCACAATGGGCACCCAACTGGACCCTATCCAGCTGTCCATCTTCTCACACCGCTTCATGAGCATTGCTGGTGAGTGGCTGCGGCCAGGTTCCCTGCTGCCTGGCTCCCTGTGGGATGAGGCGCCGGCTGTGTCATGGGGTGGCTGGCAGGGCTGTGCCCAAAGGGAGAGGCAGAAGCAGGACTCCCTGGTGACGGGGCGGGCAGTGTGGCTGCAGCACTGGCATGGTGCATTTGGCCATGAGAACAAGCCTTGGGCAAGGAGGACACCTTCCCCCTCTTACCTGCAGCCATGTGATCCGGGGAGTGAACTTCTAGCTAAGGATGAGATACTGAGGGCAGCACAGGGAACCCATCTGTGCAGGGTCAGGCCAGCGGCTTGCTGGGAGCCCAGGGGTCAAGAGCCTAGGAACCAGGTTCTTGCTGTGCCAGGCAGGGTGGGAGGGTCGAGGAGTGGCACTGGGTTCTTGCTGGGGGCTCCAGGCGGGACTGGGGAGGAAGGTGGTGTCCTTTACATAGGCTAAGACATGTGGCCAAGTGGGCACACGGTCACCTTGGTCTTCCCCAGGAAAAAGCTGCTGGGTTCTGGGTTTGAGCCCCGGTGGTTCCTGTTCCTTCCTTTCCTGGGGCCATGCTGTGGGTGGATGGGGCCAGCAGGCATCTGGTCACTTTGTGCTCCCAGAGCAGATGGGCCGCATCCTGCAGCGCACAGCCATCTCCACCAACATCAAGGAGCGCCTCGACTTCTCCTGTGCTCTCTTTGGGCCCGATGGGGGGCTGGTGTCCAATGCCCCCCACATCCCTGTACACCTGGGTGCCATGCAGGAGACGGTGCAGTTCCAGGTGCGGTGGACCCTCCCCCGCCTTCCTACCCCTCCCTCACCTCGCCCTCCCACCCCTCCCTCGCCTCACCCTTCCATCCCCCTCCCTCACCCTCCACCCCACCCCACTCTGGCCCCTGCTCCACTGTGCCCACTCTGCACCCATTTCCTGGTTTCAGATCCAGCACCTGGGGGCTGATCTCCACCCTGGCGACGTGCTACTGAGCAACCATCCCAGTGCCGGGGGCAGCCACCTGCCAGACCTGACTGTTATCACACCGGTGAGGGGTGCTGCCCACCTGCCTCTGCTGGGGCAGGGGTGGCCGATGTAGCTGACTGTGGCTTTCCACCCGCTAGGTGTTTTGGCCGGGTCAGACGCGGCCTGTTTTCTATGTGGCCAGCCGAGGGCACCATGCAGACATTGGCGGCATCACACCAGGCTCCATGCCCCCCCACTCCACCACGCTGCAACAGGAGGGTGCCGTCTTTCTGTCCTTCAAACTCGTCCAGGGGGGTGTCTTCCAAGAGGAGGGTGAGTGGGGTGGGGTGGAGTGGGGTGGGGTGGGGTGGGGTGGGCCTTCTGCATTCTGGGACACATGGCCACTGCTGGCAAGCAGGCCTGGCTGGACCGTGGGATGCAGCCCATAGACCCAGGCCTGCCTTGAGGCTGGGAGGAGATAGGTGGTTACCCCAAAGGGCAACTGCAGATCGGATCCCAGGAGCTGAGATGAATGCAGCCTGGGCCCAGGAAGGCCTCCAGAGGGGTGGTTTTGTGGGTGGAGAGTTAGCCAAGACGTGGAGGGTCAGGGTGCTGGAGGGAGAGAAGCCTGTTTCAAGGTGGGTGGCTGCTTGTGTGTGCAGTCATACTGGGTGGAGTCTGCAGAGAAACAGCAGGGCAGGGGCAGGGGCAGGGGCAGGGCCCAAAGGCCCCTGTAGTGTTTTCTGGGCCTAGGTCTGAGTCACTGGGTGGTAGGTGGCCGTGAAGGGCTTTCAGCTGGTCCTGCACTAATCTCCCACTGTGCCCACGTGCAGAGAGGATGCGGGGCCTGAGAGTGGCCTGGAGGCTGGGGGACAAGAGTGGGGGCAGCTGCAGTTGCTCTGGATGATGCTGAGTCTTGGGCTGAGTGGAGGGTGAGGGCAGTGGGTGGGGGACTGTTTTGGATGTGGAAGGAAGTGGGTATTTGGAGGGATTTGGGAGAGGGGGCCAGGGGTCAAGTTTGGGCAGCTGGAGGTGGAGGCCCTGGCACTGAGCAGTGGCAGGAAAGGTGGGATGGAGGCTGCAGCGGTGCCTGTGGTGGGGGTGGGGGTAGGAAAGGCAGGGAAAACAAGCCCTGGTCTGAGGCTGCAGGTCTGGGAGCCCAGGGGAAGTGGCGTGGCCGGGGTGGAGGGTGGGGACGGAGGGTGGGTGTAATGGAACCACAGGCTGTTCTGGTGTTGAGGACACAAATAGAGTGGCCCATTTCCGGCTGCTGCCTTGATCAGTGTGAGCTGGGGGCAGGGGGTGTGGACCACAGAGGGACATGTGCAGGCACACTGCAGAGGGCCCTGTGGCTGCCTCAGAGAGGACCCTGAGCCAGGCTCAAGGGCAGGAGCTTTCCTGAGGTGGGGAGCAGTCCCAGGCCAGACCTCACTGCTTTCTAGGGGCCAGAGACCTTGTCTGGATTTGGGAAACCTGGGTTGGGGGTGCAGACAGGGTTGGCCAGGGGCTCAGTGATGACACTGTCCATCCAGCGGTGACTGAGGCCCTGCGGGCGCCAGGCAAGGTCCCCAACTGTAGCGGAACCAGAAACCTGCACGACAACCTGTCGGACCTCCGTGCCCAGGTGGCAGCCAACCAGAAGGGCATCCAGCTGGTGGGGGAGCTCATTGGGCAGTACGGCCTGGACGTGGTGCAGGCCTACATGGGCCATATTCAGGTGGGCCTGGGCACAGGAGTGTGGGCAGCAGGGCCATCCTGCAGGTGGCCTGGCTGCCACTGATCCTGCTCCCTGCCAGGCGAACGCTGAGCTGGCCGTGCGCGACATGTTGCGTGCCTTTGGAACCTCCCGGCAGGCCCGGGGCCTGCCCCTGGAGGTGTCCTCGGAAGACCACATGGACGACGGTTCCCCTATCTGCCTTTGCGTGCAGATCAACCTGAGTCAGGTGGGCCGCAGGGATGGCGCTTCTGGGCGGCAGGGGCATGGCGCAGCTGCTGACTGCCTCTCTCTTCCCTCCGGTGCGCAGGGCAGCGCTGTGTTTGACTTCAGCGGCACTGGGCCGGAGGTGTTCGGTAATCTCAACGCACCGCGGGCCATAACCCTGTCCGCCCTCATCTACTGCCTGCGTTGTCTGGTGGGCCGCGACATCCCGCTCAACCAGGTTCGCAGGGGTGTGTGAGCGAGGGCGGGCCCCAGCCCGAGGTCACCCTGAGTGCGCCTCCGGGGCCCAGCCACGGACTGACCCCATGGGTGTTGGGGCGCGGAGGTGCTGTTTCTCTTGGAGCCCACCCCAAGAGCCCCTGAGAGCCGCCCTCCCCGCACAGGGCTGCCTGGCGCCAGTGCGCGTAGTGATTCCCCAAGGCTCCATCCTGGACCCGTCGCCGGAGGCGGCGGTGGTGGGCGGCAACGTGCTCACGTCGCAGCGCGTGGTGGATGTCATCCTGGGGGCCTTTGGGGCCTGCGCCGCCTCCCAGGTGCGGGGGCGGGGTGAGCGCGGTCGGGGGCGGGCCGGGTGGGCAGGCTGGAGTAGGAGTGGGCGGGCGAGGTGGGGACGCCCCGCCCCAGCGCAGCGCAGCGACCGAGTGCTCTCGCCAGGGCTGCATGAACAACGTGACGCTGGGCAACGCCCACATGGGCTACTACGAGACGGTGGCAGGCGGCGCGGGCGCGGGTCCCAGCTGGCATGGGCGCAGCGGCGTGCACAGCCATATGACCAACACGCGCATCACCGACCCTGAAATCCTGGAGAGCCGGTGAGCGGCGTGCGCGGAGCCTGGGGGCGCGACCGGGTGGGAGCCGGGGCTCGGCCACACTAAGTCTTCGCCCTTGTCCTCGCCCTCACAGGTACCCGGTCATCCTGCGCCGCTTCGAGCTGCGGCGGGGCTCGGGGGGCAGAGGCCGCTTCCGGGGCGGCGACGGTGTCACCCGCGAGCTGGTCTTTCGCGAGGAGGCGCTGCTGTCAGTGCTGACCGAGCGCCGCGCCTTCCGGCCCTACGGGCTCCACGGTGAGCGGGTCCCCAGCCCTCGCGGCCCTCCCTGCCCCCGCCCCCGCCCCCGTCCCCGCCCCGGGTCCCTCTGGACTCCTCGCCTCCCTCCGCAGGGGGCGAGCCCGGTGCCCGCGGCCTAAACCTGCTGATACGCAAAAACGGCCGGACAGTGAATCTGGGCGGCAAGACGTCGGTGACCGTGTACCCTGGGGTAAGGGCCATGGCCTGTCCTGTCCCTCTCCTCTCCCGGCCCCATCCCACAGACGGGGAACAGTTGCAGACATGACCAGAGGCCGAGTTTAATCTGGCCCCCAAAGGAAAGGGGGCGCGTACCAGGCCTCTGTGGTCCCTGGGGGTGGGTGATGAATGCTGCCCTGTGGGGAGGGGACTGCGCAGGTGACAGGGAGGGGCCACAATTGCGCTGAGCCCGTACCCCCCCCAACAGGATGTGTTCTGTCTCCACACGCCCGGCGGCGGTGGCTATGGGGACCCGGAGGACCCCGCCCCACCGCCGGGGTCACCCCCGCAAGCACTGGCCTTTCCCGAGCACGGCAGCGTCTATGAGTACCGCCGTGCCCAGGAGGCCGTGTGAAGGTCCTGCAATAAAGATGCCTTAAGTCACCCGGTTCTGGGGACGCAGCTACGGCGCCTAGTTCGTGCTCCGAGTCCTGTCTGTGCGCGCCGGCTGCACGTCTGTCATCTGTGCCTGCCTTAGGAGGACACCCAGACTCGGAGCTGCAGGTTCACTACCAGGTGGTCCGTGAGCCCCGCCAGGGCGGTACTGAACGTCACCTGCTCCACTTTCTGGGGGCGGGAATCAGGTTGAGGGTCGTCCCAGCGCCGCAGGCCCAGCCACCCGGGCCCTGGCACTCACTGGGCTCAGCAGGCCCCCAGGAACTCCGCAGTACGTGATGTAGTCCAGGTGCTGACCCCTCCAGGGCTTAGCTCGGTGGCTTCTGCCGGGAGGGCCGGCCAGGTAGAGGTGGCGCCCTTTCTCCTGCTCCAGGGTCCTGGAAGGGGGCGGTGTCACCAAGGCCAGGGCCCCTTTGCGCGCTTCAGGCGGGCAGTGCCTACCTCCAGGTCGCCACTCACCGCCTCAGCATCTCGGGGGAGGAGGCCACGGAGTGGTGGAGCACGGAGCTGCGCAGTGCGGTCCCTGGGGGATCTGGGGGAGGGAGGCATCAGCCAGAGCCTCGGCCGACAGCGCTCCCCAGGTCCACTCTGGTACCCTCCCCCCAAGCACGATACCCAGGGCCCAGGGCTGCTCTTGGCGCGTGCCCATCCGGCAGGGGTCCTGGAAGCGGCAGAAGAGCTTGTGCTACTGCTGCAGCGCAGAGAGAGGCTGGAGCGTGGTGGGCGGGGCCGGGCCTCCTGGCTCCGCCCCTGCCTCCCTGCCCTCCCCTCCTGCGGGACCTTTCGAGCAGTTATCGAAGTTTAGGTCGCCCAGGAGCACGCGTAAAGCCACGACCCCTCCACTTTGTTCGCTCTCGGCCTCAAACTTCTCGGCTCAGTCCAGCAGCAGCGTCAGCTGTTTGCTGCGCAAGGGCCCGTCCTCTGCGCGGGGAAGGGGGGTGGAGTGGGCTCGGCTCCAGATTCGGACCCGCATCTTGGACAGTCAGCTCCCGGCTCCCCAGTTCCTGATCTGTGAGCCCGACAGGCACCTCTCAGGAATTCCCATGCCTGGGGCAGTGAACATAGGGCGGGAGGTGGGGGCGGGGTGCAGGCAAATGTAGGGATCAGTAGCCGCCACGGAGAGGCGGGACCTGTTCTGAGGACCCACCCGCAGGGCTCACCAGCCAGTGCTTGCAAGTGCGTGCAGTGCAGGAATCCCACGATGTGGCGCCCGTCCAGGCTGCCCAGCTGCGCCTGCAACACCACGGACGGCCCCAGCTTCCCTCGCCTTCTTGGCCGAACCCCGCCCCCTCTGTGCTCTGGGCGGGGTAGGCCAGTACCTGTGTGGACAGTAGTCCCTTGGAGGCCAGCGTGTCCTCGCCACGCGCGTGGGGGAAGCAACGGAAGGTGGCGCACAGCAGCGGGTAGCGCGAGGCCAGCAGCAGCCCGCTGTCCAGTAGCTTGAGGTGCGGCCCGGTCTGTAGGCCAAGTGTGCCCACGTCGTACAGCACCGGGCCCAGGTTGGGCGTCAGGCGATTCACCAAGTGACGAGCTGCGCGCAAATCGAATACCTCCTGCAGGCACACAACGTCCAGACCCACGGGCAGCGAGGCCACCCGCGTCCCACGCGGCGCCCTGGGCCACAGCTGGCTGCAGTCCGTAGCCCTATAGAGCGCGGCGCCAATGGCCTCAGCCCGTCGCTGGCTGTGCGGCAGGTTGCTGAAGCGCGACAGCCTGTCCAGGAGCAGGCACAGATTGGCCATGAGGAAGATGAAGCAGCGCCCGGGTTCGGCAGGCGGGCGCCAGAGCGCGGGCGGCGCCCAGCACAGCGGAGGGGGGCGGTAGCAGAAGGGGCGGCGCCAAACCTGCAGCGCCAGCCAGAGTGGCAGGCGGGTCAGCGCCAAGGGCAGGCCGACCACCACCAGCAGCAGCAGCGCCACGACGCCGCTCGCCGCCCTTCTCAGCCACCCCAGGCTGATCGGGCTCGCCGTTGGTGCACAGCAGCCCAGCAGCTGGTCCAGGGCCCAGTAGGCCGGGGAGAGCAGCTCGTGGGCCAAGCCGTGGAAGGCGTGCAAAGCCGGGTGCGGGAAGGGCGAGGGCCGCAGGGCGTCAGTCGCCCGGGGCCAGTTGGGCGGGGATTGCATGGTACACCTAACTCTTCGGCCGCGGGGCGCCGGGGAGACTCATTGGCTTCCAGAGGACAAGCTGACTCGTCGGTGCATCAGCGCGAGCTGCGGGGGAGTCACAGGGGTGAAGGCCGCGTGGCACAGCGTGTGCGCAAAGCCGGTGAGGTGCTGACCCAGCGAGCCTGGCGGAGGCGCGGGCATAGGCAGAGGGGCGCTTCAGAAAGAAAACCCGAAAGGGACCTGATCTCAAATCCCCACCCTGGATCCTCCTTGCCCCGCCCTATACACCCGCGAAGGTCACACAGGGAACCTGTGAGGTCCGCCCAACGCAAGCGGGATCGGGATGCAGCCTGCGGCAAGTGGAGGACGACCGTTCTTGAGTGCGGGCTGCCCAGGGCTGGTGAGGAGCAAACAGTGTGCTCTGCCCCCCGGCTCCCCTGTACCCGCCCCCACGCAGGTCAGCATGGAATAAGTCGCGCACTCCCGCTGCCCAGACGGCAGAATCCACCCTACCCGCCGGGCACGGTGGCTCAAGCCTGTAATCCCAGCACTTTGGGAGGCCGAGACGGGCGGATCACAAGGTCAGGAGATCGAGACCATCCTGGCTAACATGGTGAAACCCCGTCTCTATTAAGAAATACAAAAAACTAGCCGGGCGAGGTGGCGGGCGCCTGTAGTCCCAGCTACTCGGGAGGCTGAGGCCGGAGAATGGCGTGAACCCGGGAGGCGGAGCTTGCAGTGAGCTGAGATCCGCCACTGCACTCCAGCCTGGGCGACAGAGCTAGACTCAGTCTCAAAAAAAAAAAAAAAAAGAATCCACCCCACCTGCTAGGCATCTCTCTGCGGCCCGGTGGTGTCGGGCGCCTGAGTTCAAAGACCTGACACCTGAGGAGGGATGGACTCCCGCCTAGCACCCCACAAAGTCCCCCAAAAGGCCAGCCCGCGGTGGTGATGGCCCTGTGGCCCTACCCCATGGAGCTTCCAATCTAAGGAGAGGGACTGTTGGTTCTACCCTGCGCGTAGCTCTGCTGCTGCACCCGAGCCAGACAGAAGTGTTTCCCCATTCTCCCCGTTGGTGGAGCGCTCTGGCATATCCTCAGGAGCTCCCAGGACAGGATGGCCGGTAGCTCCCAGGCTCTGCTCGCCTCCCACCTTTCTAATTGGGCCTGTGAACCAGCACACACTCTCCCGGTCAGCTGGGTACAAGCGTCTCTTAAATAGCCCTGGGAGTTGGCAGGGAGGTGGAGAGGCTTCTGGCAGAGCTCTTCCCTGCCCTTCCCAGGGACGAAGAGGCTGGATGGCTGGCTGGATTCCCTGGAGGCCTGGGAGTGGGGAGGGCAGAGGCAGGAAGCTCAGCAGCCCAGGCATCCTCGGAGGGCCTGGCACACCCTGCATACCCGCTCCTTCCCTGGACTCCTTGCTGGTTGCTGAAAGATTCCCATTGGAACTCAGACCTTGTGGGTCCACTGTCGCCTCGTGCTATCCTCTATGTCTGGCTGGCAAGCACTGGTGCCCCAGGACCCTCCTCAGTTGGGGTTTTGATCTCCCTCCCATTGCAGCCAGCCTCCTTGCCTTCCTGCCTGCAGACTTGCTCCTGTCTCACCCTGTGGTGTGGGCCCCTCTGCGCTTTCCTACACTGCGCTTCTCCCCTCCCATGTCTTCCTCCCCAGGGACTTCCCATCCTGGCCGGCTCCCTCAGCTTCCTGCACTCTCCACAAGCCCTTCCCAGCACCCCATCTGCCCTTAGTGCACTGTGGGAGGCCCCTGGCCTGCCCCCAAATCCTGCTTGTGCTCCTCAGCTCCTGCAGCAGGTGGCGTCTGCCCTTGCCAGCTCTGAATCCCTCTCAAAGTCTCCAGGACCTGTGGGATGGCCTTGGGTGTCATGGGAAGGGGCCGCCACTTCGCTGGGCTGCCCCATGCCCAGGTTGGGGTGAGGATGGTTTCTCCTGGCTCTTCTCCCTTGAATGTCCTCTTGTCCTCAAGGCCTGGAAGACTGCCCCCTCCACCCCTCACCCAGCCCCGGCCTAGTATGGAGGCAGGGATCCCACACCCACATCCTTGTCTCCTCCCACCTCTGCCAGCTCCGTGCCCCTCACCACTGCAGCAGGCACAGAGCCGCAGCCCTTCCCTCCCCGCTCCACCCCTTCCTGGTTCCTACCCTTCCCCATCCAGGTCCCAGGAGCTCCCACTGCTCTCAGTGCCATGGGAGGGGAGCCTGGGGGCCTTCAGACCAACCCCTTGCAGACCACTGCTGAGCCTTGGCCTCTCGGGCTCTTGCAGAGGGTCCAGGATGGGCATTGACCTCCAGGGCAGGCAGGGCTGAAGGGGCACGGTGCAGGGGCCTGGTGAGCCACCTCAGAGGAGGCAGCACCACTCAGGAGTGCTGGCACAGGCCCAGCGACCAGCGTCTGTGGGAAGCTTTAATGGCTGTGCAGAAGACTGTGGGGTTGAGTGAGCCTGGACCTCCCAGCTCCAGCATCACCAGATGAACATGGGCTTGCCGTCGTCGTGCGCCAGCTGGTTGAGGCAGGAGAGCAGCAGCAGCGCATCGGTGAGCATGCTAGGGTGCACGGTCTCCACTAGCACGCGCTGCAGGAAGTCCACAGTGTAGGTGCCGCCCTCGGACGCCGCCAGCTCCGGGCGCTCTCGCAGGATGCCATAGGCGTTCACCAGCTGTTCGGTCAGCGCAGGGTGCACCCGCCCGTTGTAGCCCAGACTCTGCAGCCTGTTCATGATGCTCACGTAACGCTGTGTGAGCATCTGGCACAGCTCCTCGTCCAGCTTGTGGTCACTGGGGTTCAGGGAGGCCTGCGGGGAGAGCGGCCATCAGGGACCCTCCTTTGCCACACTTCCACACACAGGCAGGTAAGGGGAAGACCGAGGGGCACGTGAGGCTGCGAGACGGCCAGGATCCGAGGGGTGTGCGGTGGGGAGGTTCTGCGAGGGACCTCAAGGGTTTAGGACAGGGAAGCCCAGTGGGCAGAGCCGGACAGAGAGGTCTTCAAGGCCTGATCCGGGTGGGGCAGGTGGCTCCCAAAGCTCCCCAGTGGGGCCTCATCCACAGGGTGAAAGAGGATGCCCCAACCCTGTCATCTGCTCCACCCACCACCAGGGATTGCAGTTGGGCTGAGGCCTCCAGGGACTGAGGACAGGGGCCGTGGCTAGGCATCTGGAGGCACACAGGGTCCCCTGACCCAGGGGTCTGGGGTCTTTCCCAGGCCTCCTCCTGGCTCCCTGCTCTGCTCCCTCTCAGCGTCTGAAGGCCCCCCCTTCCTTACCCTGGCCTCCATCCTCAACACCCTTTAGCCTGCACACCCCCTAGGGAACTCCCTTTCTTCCCCCAGCACTGAACTGACAACCCCAGCCAAGTGTTGGCCCCAGCACTGAGGGGCCTGTCTCCTTCACCTGCCTCCTCCTGGGCCTGGAAACCAGCACATCTGGGTCAGTTTCCACTCACTTCCTCATGCCCTGTGTCCTCCCACCAGCCAGGCAGTGACTGGGTCCCACCCTAAGGCCTGTAATCATGAAGGCAGCCCCTCCCACCCCGCCTGCCACTGCCCCCTGGATGTGTGACCTGGGCAGTTGTGGAAAGCCCAGTGCCCAGCTCAATGCTCTGTTGGCAGCATCCTGAAATTCTAAGTTTTGAATTATTTTCATTTTGCACTGGGCCCTGCCAATTTTGCAGCCTGTCTCAGGTGCAGCTGCCCCCGCCTCCAGGCTTGGCCCTGCCCACTCTCTGCACAGGCCCACAGAGCCACGGGTCTGAACTGGAGTTGGGTGGGCTAGCCCCTGCCTGAGCTCCTCGTATAGTTTCCACTGCTCCAACACTTGGGGGAGGGCCACCCTCCAGTGTCCCCCAATTTGTCCCTGCACCTCTCTTCCAGCTACGTCCTACTGTGTCCCAGATGCCTGACGTGGTGGTCCCCAACCTGCTGGGAACACTCTTGCCCAGACAAGCTGTTCAGGCACCACCCCTTGGGGAAGGCTCCCAGGCTGGTCGTCGTGTGTGCAGGGTACCAGGCTTGGGGCTGGACTTAGGACTGGGCCCAGTTAATGTGACGCCAACCTCTGCTAAGTGCTCCCAGAGCCTGCGCTCATCACCCCTGTTGCCTGGGATATGCCTGGGATACGCCCGTCTCTCCCCAGCGGGAGGTTCTTGGCCCCTGAGCCTTCTAGGCAAATGAGCAATATGCACAGTTGTGGGAGCAGGAAGACACCATCGAGGTTCAGCACAGGAGTAAGGGCCCGCGGACAGCCATGCTTAACGGCTGCTTCTGCACTACCCTGGGCCTGAGCCTCAGTTTTGCTGCTGGGATGTGAAGGAAATCATGGTGCCACCTGCAGGAGTGTTCTGAGGGTTACAGGCAGCGGCCCCGGTGAGCACTGAGCACCAGGTCATGCGGGGGCCCCCACCCCGGGGAATGGCAGTGCCCTCACATCTCACAGTGCAGCGAGTTGTGTCTTGTTGTTGTTTTGAGACAGAGTCTTGCTCTGTCGCCCAGGGTGGAGTGCAGTGATACGATCTTGGCTCGCTGCAACCTCCGCCTCCCGGGTTCAAGGGATTCTTCTGCCTCAGCCTCCTAAGTAGCTGGGATTACAGGCGCATGCCACCACGCCCGGCTAATGTTTTAGTATTTTTAGTAGAGACAGGGTTTTATCACGTTGGCCAGCCTGGTCTCAAACTCCTGACTTCAGGTGATCTGCCCGCCTCAGCTTCCTACAGTGCTGGGATGACAGGCGTGAGCCACCACGCCTGGCTGAGGTATGTCAGTTGTGTCTTATAAATATCACCCTGTCTTAAAAATATTCCTTCAAGGCCAGGCGTGGTGGCTCACACCTGGCCATAGCTCAAGCCTCAGTTTGGGAGGCTGAGGCAAGAGAATTGCTTGAACTTGAGAGACGGAGGTTGCAGTGAGCCAAGGTTGGGCCTCTGCACTCTTGCCTGGGTGACAGAGCAAGACTCTGTCTCAAAAAAAAAAAAAAAAAAAAAAAAAAAAAAAAAATTTAAGGCTAGGCTCATGCCTGTAATCCCAGCACTTTGGGAGGCAGAGGCAGGTGGATCACTTGAGGCAGGGAGTTTGAGACCAGCCTGGCCAACACGGCAAAACCCCATCTCTACCAAAAAAATACACAAAAATTAGCCAGGTATGGAGGAGGGTAGCCTGTAATCCCAGCTTACGTCGAGGAGCGCTGAGGCAGGAGAATTGCTTGAAGCCAGGAGATGGAGGCCTGCAGAGAGCTGAGATTTGTACCGCTGCACTCCAGCCTGGGTGGACAGGATCAAGGACTCTGTCTCAAAAATAAATAAAATAAATAAATATTTTTAAAAATAAACAAATTAGTCAGGTGTGTGGTGGCACGCCTGTAGTCCCACAGTTACGCCAGGGAGGCCTGAGATTGGGAGGCCACTTGAGTGAACCATGGTTATGCCACTGCACTCCCAGCCTGGGCCACAGAGTGACGACCCCATCTTAAAAAAAGTTGCGGCCGGGCATGGTGGCTCAAGCCTGTAATCCCAGCACTTTGGAAGTCTGAGGACGGCGGATCACGAGGTCGGAGATCCGAGCCCATCCTGGCTAACA